TTTAGGGGTTTAGGGTTTAGGTAGCTTTCATATTTTCACTGTTTCACTTTACCCTAAACCCTAAACCCTAAACCCTAAACCCCCAAACCCTAAACCGTTCTTCACTCCAAGTCCCGTGCGGAGGAGAACCGCCCGGCAGAGCCAGAAGAGGCTCTGTCAGGCCACTTTCAGCATGACATGCCGGCGAGGGTAATAGGGTTTGGGGTTTAGGGTTAGGGTTTCCTGCTGTGGAAGTCGGTGATGGTGGTGATGATGATGAGGATGATGAAGGCGACGACGACGGAGGATGAAGGCATTGTTCTTGTCTTGAGTGTGCTCCTGATCACAGCTCACGACCATGAAAATGATGTCCAGGATGTTGATTTTGCTTATGCCTATGAGCCTCATAATAACGATGGTGAACGTCATCATGAACATTCTGTTGATAGTGACAGCGATGGTGATTATGATGGGAGTGCAAGCATGCATGTGCACGACATGTCAGGTATGGCTCGCTGTACGCATCAGCCCTAATTGTGAAATTCTTACATCAGGTGGTCGAGATGCTGCACCCACCCTCGAGCTTCTTAGCTGTCATTTGGGTTTTGCGATTATACGGTGCGCTGTTGTTTTAGCGGCATTTATTGTGGCTTTTTCAAGGGACTTAGAGTTTTGGGGGTTTAAGCACGTAGGATAGACAGCTTCCATCCGACCTTCAATGCTAAACCCGAAGTCATGGCTCAAGGTCCTTGTCCGGAATTCGGATATCGGTTTGAAGGGTTTCGGTTTCGGGTTTAGGGTTTAGGGTTTAGGGTTGGTGATATGGTCAGGTCTAGATAATTGCGGGGCATCGGTTCGGGGCATCGTGTAATGTTTGCGCTTGGGTGAAGGGTTTGTGATGTTACTGGTTAGTTTTAAATAGTGTTTGGAAGTTTCGGGCTTAGTATCTAACCCTAAGGGTCCATGTACCCAAATAGTGTATACATTGGCCTTAATGTAGCCCCTATATAGGTACTTTAGGGCCAATGTATATACTATTTAGGTACATGGACCCTCTGGGTAAAGACAATTTTACGGACGGAAAGTATCTTTAGCTACAGGCTACAGGATTCTGCGAGTGCAAGTGTAATTGAGGGTATGATGGCATACTTTCCGGCTGGGCTGATCCAGTACTCCAGCCTTCTATGCTATGTGAACAGGGTTATCCGGAAGCAAGATTCAATCATGCTCCTCTTGAGAAGTTCTGGCTTGGGTTCTTTCGCTCCAGAATTAAGACCTTCGAATCTGCTAAGCCCACTCACGTCCGTCAGCTGCTGGTTTCTGGCTAGGTCTCTCCGACCTATTTCGAGATGCATAAGTCAAAGCCGCTTCAGATTAAATCTCCCCCAAACCATGAACTCTTTCTCCCCCAAAACCTCGGCCTACACTTGACCCCTTGAAGGGGGACCCGAGTAAGTATAGAACCCTATAGTACCCTTCAAGAGGAACCCTATCCTAGGACTTCATGAGCCCCGAGGCCCCAAAAGCCCCTGAAACCCCAATGCTACGCTTAAAGGTTGAGGGTTTAGGGTTTAGGATTTAGGGTTTAGGGTTGCATCCATCCTTTCCCGAGGTCGTTGGGTGACTTCCTAGGGGAGGCTGGGGCGCACTCTCTTTGGCTTTGAGGGGTTTAGGCTGGTTCGCGTTTCAGGGGCTCTGAAGCCTTTTTGGCCTGAGGTCGGGGATTTTGGGTTTTACGGATTAGGACCAGAGCGAAAAACTGCGCTAGTCCGAGGCCCGGGACAGGCTTGATTGATTGTCCAGAATAACTACACTAGAGGCAGTTACATGTAGAGTACTGTTATAAACATAATGTCACGGTTAGTGGCTTATCACAGCTCTTTTTAGCATGTTAACACTGTTTTCTTTGTTGTTATGGTATGATTATTCTTATTGATCTTAACCTTTACGTTGTCATACTTATCATATCTGTCACAACCATTCATGAGAGAATTCCGACTATTCTGGGAGCATCAAGCCTGACGACCATGTTCGGCGGAATTGTGCAGCTTTAAACCCTATACCCTAAACTCCTAAATTTAGGAAAGTGCTGAAGCGATGTGGGGTTCTGGGGGTTCTGGGGTTTACGGTCTAAGGACCAGGTAGGAGAGAATCAGGGCCGTCCGGTGGTTTAGGGTATTAGGGTTTAGGGTTTAGGGTATCACGGTATGCAGCATTAGGATGGAGGGTTTGGAAACTAACTATCGATCTCTAGAGCACCAACGCGAAAATCGACTTGAACTCAAAACCTGTTTCTTAGGCGGCTTCTTGTACAATGAATTTCGAAGCAGTTCCTGATATGATGTGAGACCTTGCTATGGTTATATCGGGGCTTCTATTCTATTCCGGACCCCAAAACTGCAAGCTGCCATTTTTGAGGCTAAAAGTAGGCCTCCAGTGGCATACAACTACCATGGACCCTAAACCCTAAACCCTGAAGTAATGCTTCCGATTTTTTGTTTCCGTCGTGCGAGGAGGACACTGCAGAAGCAGTCGCCAGGCTGGTGCTTGTGAGCTCTACTGATACCCCTTACTTGGAGGGTCGGGAGACTTAATAAGTAGACTTATAAGTACCCCAAAAGGGCCCCTGATTGGGGTTATAGTACTTATAAGTCTATGAAATAACCATTTACTAAGTCCCCCGACCCTCCAAGTAAGAGGCTCTAATGCCTGTACCCATAGGCCCCATAGTAGTTCCTTTTGGGGGTTACCTTATAGGATTCGATATATGAACCCAAAAAAGGAACTACTTTAGGGCCTATGGGTACTCTACTACTTTAGTACTATACCCCAGAACCATGATATAGTTCTTCTATATACCTCCAGGCCCTGATATTATTATACTATACCCCGGAACCCACGAACGGGGTGTCTTTGCATAGTGAGACCCGTTTTCTGGAACCGTTGCGAATGGCGGAGTGCCATTAGATGATGCTAAATGCTCCCATGCATCACTGAGGCGGAGTCAGCGAAGCACGCTTTTCGCTGGCTTTCGGGCTTGCTAGGTTAAGGGGTTTGGGGGTTTAGGATTTAGGGTGTCTATTGGGATTGTTGTGTAGGCACCAACTTTGTGCAAAACGGCGGCCCTCTGCCAGCCGCGGCATGTCTGTGTGAAAAGACAGAGTCGGCAATGCACTTTCGGCACTATCCATTTGCGAGAATGCCACGGGTCTGTCAGTCGATGTTAACGGTGACGTTGCTGATGATGACGATGATGCCGATCATGAAAATGACACTCAGAACGCCGTCGTCGTTCGACGGACAATTGTTGGCAAAGGTTGTCCAGGATCGTGTTGTGGTTATTTCGGTGCCGATCATGCTGTAAATATGGTGACACTTAAAACAGCACACACACACACACACGCACACACTGACAACTAGTATCCGACCAGCTTCTGACTCTCCGAGCTAGCCAAAAAGGTGTCGCTGATCGACAGCCCTAACCAGGCACGCCGTCACACCGAGCACAACACACCCCGTAACGACGGACCACCGTGTCCTGATCCACCCGCAAACCCTACGTGTTGTAGGGCTTGCAGCTCGGATTGCTCGGACGCCATTCACGAAGCAGTAAATCCCTGGCTATAGTTAGTACAAGTCTGAACAATCACCGGGGTTGCTAATTTGACTTTTGTCTATACTGTACCGCAGTTCGTTTTTCTTTAATGAAGGTTTCTATACTCGACCCTCTTGAGTTCGATAAAGCCTGTAAGCAAACACAAAGCTTGATCTCTTGCAGTGAGACCCAAAGCCCTCACCTCGAATCGCTAGGGCGTAGGGCTACCGGGTTACTGGGCCATGGGTTCAGGGTTTTGGGTTTACCTTCTAGATGGTTCTAGGGTTTAGAGGTCCTGGATTATGGGTACATGAGGTTTGTATAGGGTTTAGGGTTTAGGATTTGTATAGGGGGCCACTACCCCACATGATGAAAGATTTGCCGTGTGTCCAGGCCGGTTGGCCTTGCGAGCGGGAAGCAGGTCGGGACGGAATCCGGGGGTCAAGTGGAGTTTACCCTAAGGGTCCAAGTACCTAATAATCATATACTCTCCCAAATAGTAACCTACATAACTACTATCGGAAACCTAAGTACATGACTATAGGGTCCTTTGGACCCTTAGGGTTAGATTGTGGTGTTTTTGCTTGGGGCAGCCACTTGTGGAGCTCTGCATAGTCATGAAAGGCTGCCGTGGTAGCAAACGGAAGAATTTCTCACCTCTGCGATCTTCCTGTCGTCGAACTTTACATGTCCCATCTGCCTAAGATGCTGGGACCTTGCTCTCCGTTCTGGTTGCGTAGTCACTGCGTAGTCCCTTCCGAGGGCATATTGGTTGCATGTCTCTCAGTATAGTATGAGACAAACGGCATCATAAAGCCATGAACGGCGCGAGCAGAGTAGAGTGGAATAGACTCGGAACGTATCTGGTGTTATATGTTGTAATGACGACAGGTAACTTGCTTTGTTGAAGCACCCTGGCCCTAAACCCAAACCCGAAAAGCTCTTCAGCTAAGCCTGATCTCCAAACCCTACAGAGCCTAAACCCTCGAAGCCCGAAGCCGGAAAAAGAATGCGAAGGACGAAGAAGGGTGCGGTGGTCCTTCCAGCAGCGCCCGAGGCCGAGGGGAAGGAACTTCAGGGGTCTTCTAGCTGTTCCTATTTTCTTCATTGGGTCTTTGTGAGGGTTCTGTGGGGGTCGAAAAGGTCAACCTAAACGCTGATTCCTGCAGCACCTCCCGCAGGGGCAGATGCTCCACAAGCTGAGGGCGATACGGCCGCAGGCTGCATCCTGTGGGGGGTTTAATATAGGGGCCTTAAGAATTACAGATACTTTTTTGATGGTTCCTTATTAAAATCATAGTATAATATACACCAAAACCTTATTCTAATTATTAAGGCCCCTACATCAGGCTCAGGCACCGCGTCATGAAGGGATGGGTTTTTCCCAACCTGTGCCGGCAGCTGCAGGCTAATTAAACCGTGCGCACAACCTGCACTGAGCCTGTTGAATTCTGAACGTTGGACAGGGCCCTAAACCCTAAACCCTAAACCCTAAACCTTAAACCCGAAACCCTAAACCCCTAAGGAAATAAATTTCTCAGACTAAAGGGTCTCAGGAATCCCCCACACAAGAGCCCATGATCTATCCCCAAAGGGTTTGGGTTTAGGGTGTAGGGTTTAGGAATTAGGGTTAGGGTTTAGGGTTTAGGGTGTAGGGTTTAGGGTTAGCGATCCTGTTGTTCAGGTGGTTTCTGGGCTCTGCAATGTCTTTTCGTCAGCACCCAGCTTCAATCAGTTCACAGCATGCCGAGTACATTTTTACACCTCCAAAAACTGCGCGCGACCTGCAACCGGGAGAGCCTATCGCAACCGCAACCCTAAACCCTAAACCCTAAACCCTAAACCCTAAGCCCTAAACCCTAAACCCTAAACCCTAACAGGATTCCCGGTTAGCGAAGAAGATTTGGGATTTCGGGTTTAAGGTTCGTGAAACTCGCATAGCGCCCTTCCTCGAAACCCTCGACTCCAACCCCTAAACGGCCCTAGACCCAAACCCAAGGTTTAGGGTTTAGGGTTTAGGGTTTAGGGTTTAGGGTTTAGGGTTTGCAACCCTGAAGCCATGAATTTCAATCCACCCTTAGCCACTTCAATCTTCTTGACTGCCTCAGGCCCTGAATCCCATGCTCCTGCTCCTGCCTCAGTGATGATGAGGGTTTAGGGCTTGTAAGGTTTAGGATGTAAACCCTAAGCCCTGAACCCTAAACCCGGGAATCTGGCGTTCAATCAATGTGCGGGTCAGGCTTCGCGGGCTCAGGGGGCTGGCGTAGGATTTTTGGAAGTTCAGGTCATTTGCGGCTTTGGGATGTAGGGTTTGATGCTTTTCGGGCATGTGGAATTCCCAATAATTAATGCCAGAAGTGGGATTGAGTACCTTGAGAAGCAGGATTGGTTTCAATACTCCGAGTGGGGTTATCCTGCGCGAACTTCTGCCTTGAGTGCTGTGACTGAGTCCTACCTGGACCCCAATTAACCTACGTTTTTAGGGTTCCTTATTATGATTTCTCTATATAACTCCCTAAAAGTGTAGGTTATTAGGGGTTAAGGTAGAACTCAAAGGCGACATGAAGCAAATGGATGGCCTGCACTCCGCACAGGAAGTGCACTCCTTCAGATGAGCTCAGATGAACAGATACTGCATAGCCAGAGCACGAAGTGCCGATCCAAGTTTCAGTTTTGGCTGTAACATGACTTATGGAGTACTGCTTTGCTTCGAGCGTTCAGGGGGTCAAGAGCCAAGTGCTGGTTCTGCAGAAGTCAAAGCACAACTCAGGGGTTCATGACTTCAGTACTCGGCACTAGGAGCCGAGTCAGGCATGCTGTTGAGTTGCTTCGGGTCAGGCGATACCGGTTGCAGGATCAGCGTCGAGCACAGAGGGCTACTCGGCACCGATGTTGGGATAGTGATGTTTCGAGCCAGGAGAGCATTTTTACATGTGCATTTTTGCGTCTGAGGTGCACCCATTTCCGAGCCCAAGGACACTCCCGGCGCTCAATCAGACGTGCAGAGTTCCAACAGCCCAGCGGAGAGTCCCCCAAAGACGGGGGCCAAGGGCCCTCCAAAGAAAGGGGGCAAAGCTGGCAAGGGCCCGCCACTGCCTGGAACTACGGGCGAGCTCTGCGCTGTTCCGGATGCTGCGTCTGCTGTGCCGGAAGAAGCCGCCACTCCTATATGTGCCCCTCGGATGGTCTGGATAACATCTTTTGTTCTACAGGCTGCCCAGTGACAGTGGCTCAGTCATCCTAGCAATCACACGGGTGTTAGCGACTTGTTGCTTTCCTTTACCTTTCCCTAAGGGTCCATGTACCCAAATAGTGTATACATTGGCCTTAATGTAGGCCCTATATAGGTACTTTAGGGCCAATGTATATACTATTTAGGTACATGGACCCTTAGGGTTTGGTCGCCGGACCCACCAATGGGCCCACCAAGGTCAGCTCACCTGCTTCGGAAGCTGAGGCAGGTGGTACATTTTCAAGGAACATGTCTATCTCAAGTGCCTTAAGAACCCAAAACCTACTTTTTTGTAGGGTCCCTATAAATCCCATATTAGGGTTTATAATAAGAACCCACAAAAAAGTAGGTTTTGGGGTTCTTAAGGTGAGTTGGGTTGTGTAGGTGTTTTCCCAAGCTGTCAAACGACAAATTCCAGCACCGGCCGTTCTCTTCTTATGGCAGCTTCCGACATAAGGCTTCAGGAGCCAGAAGGCTGTTGACTTACGGATTTCGAGAGCAGAAGCACCGAGAGTGGCAGGCGATACCGGTTGCAGGATCAGCGTCGAGCACAGAGGGCTACTTGGCACCGATGTTGGGATAGTGATGTT